TTTTGCCAAAATTAAAATTATAAGTTGTGTAACAGTTCAATTTTTGGTAAAATTGTAGTCTTTCTTTCTGCCAGTGCTAGAAGTTGGTGAAAAAGTTGAGACTCAAAATGAGATGTTAATTCCCAAGGTGGGTGGAGAGAAGGGACAACCCAAAGAATAGAGGTCTCTTCTCGAAGACCACTGCTTAAGCAGCTTGTGAACTGTATGTGAGAGGCGCTGGTTCCTAGTGGAGAACCTGTTTCAATATAGCCTGCGTTTGTCTGTAGTGTGACAATTCCCTGACTCCTGGGTAGGGGTAGGCAGGGAGCCCATAGACCTTTGGAGCAACTGAGGAAAGCTTCTGAAGCTCTCCCCAGAAAGTTTACGTAGATTACAAACTCTGCATGCAAATTCAGGGACTTACCGGGTCTGCTTTGGCTTCCTATCATAGAGTGTAGGTTACTGTCCTTTTTTGTTAAAGACAGACTTTATTGAGACGACTTTTTAAAACCTAATAATCAAACTTTAGATCATTGAAGGCTGTTCAGAGCTCTTCTTTATGTCTGATACACACACACTGGATGGAAGGTGGCCTCTCAGGAAGGTGAAAGATTGCCCGGGCTCCAGTCCTGGCGCCCCCCCCCCCCCCCCCCCGCCTTTGATGTGGCTCTTTGACGAGCCTCATCATCTCTCTGTGCCTCAGTTTTCCCATCTGTGGAGAAGAAACAGTAATAACACCTACCACATAGGGGTGTCATGATAATTAAATGGATATCACGTACTTCCAGTAGTGCCTTATAATAACCACTCAATGAATGTGTACTATTAATTATAAATCTAAATAAATCCAAAAGGAGAGAAACAGTAATAACACCTACCATATAGGGGTGTCATGATAATTAAATGGATATCACGTACTTATAATAACCACTCAATGAATGTGTACTATTAATTATAAATCTAAATAAATCCAAAAGGAAAATTGAGCAGAGTTGATTTGCTCTGCCCACGAAGAATATGTGTTACATATTGTTGCTGTTTTTCCTCCCCACACTTCTCCATGCCTGGGAGAGCCTTTATATACTTGCACACACCACACTATGTGTTGATTTGCTCTCTGCTCCAAGTGTATTTAGGAATGTACCTTGAATCTCAAATAGCTACAATTTTATTTAACTTTATTGAATTCTAGTTTTATTATATTATCATGAGAGAGTTTGGCAATAAGATCTCTGCTTCTTTGAAATTATTAAGTTTTCCTTTGTGTCTATTTCCATCATTGATTTTTGTAAATGTTCTATTGACACGAGAAAAATGCAAATTCTCTATTTAAAGGATATAATTTTTTTGTTTATCTAAAAAACAAGTTTTGCTGTTATATGACTTAATTCTTCCACATCCTTACTTGTTTAGAATAGTCAGATTTAAAGAGATATATAACAATTTTCCACAGTATTTGTGTTTTTAACAAATTTTTTCTTAAATTCCCAACAAATTTTGTGTTATGGCTAAGTTGGGGCTTATAACTGGTGATATTCTCTTTGTAAATTGTGTGTTTTGCTCTTTTATCTTCATTACAGTTTTAACCTAAAATTTCAATTTGTCATTCATGAACTTGGCCTCTCTTGTCACATTTTGTTGGCACATGAAGGGCAGGATCTGTTGTCTAATCCTCTTCCGGTAACTGGTGTGAGTGAATGTACTAACCCCGTGCCTTCTGCTAATGATTTCAGTGTGTTTTTTAAAGAGTTTTTTAAACATGATATTAGAAAAATGTAGTTCATGTTGATGATGGGAAGGGGGTAGTTGGGAAGACTTGCCTTCTAGAAGACATTTACCCCCATTCGTGATATTGCTTCTGCTATTACAGTAGTAGTTCTCAAACTCAAATTTGGTCACAGGTGTCTTTTTCACTTTTTAAAATTACTGAAG